TCTCCCACATATCCTGCGCACGAAATCTTGTGTTTGGTACCACGAATTCGTGGAAGGCAGGCCGACCTCAACTACTACTTGAAGGCCCTGGGTTGGTCGTAGACGTTCTGAAAGCTGATGAACAACTTTTTTGGCAAGGGTTTAGGGTGTATGATGGGGTTTAAAACTTCTAGGGCTTTATGGGGTTTGTCGGTACGGTTTATGGGGTTTAGGGAATCGGATAAGCCGAACGTTGGCTGGCTGTGATGAAAGCTTGTTGCATGATCCCTGCATACACGGTTAAGGACGCAAGGTTCACCCTAATAGTGGCTGACATTTTGGTCCCTTGACTCTAAGCCCACTCTCCCCCTCGTACGGCTCTACGAAGGGACCCTTCCTCCGGGCTTCGGGGTGCAAAAAGGGGGGGGACCTTGATCATGTTAATGGGATTCTGTGGCAGATTATGGGATAGTTTACAAGGATTACATAAGAAAATTGCCGTAAATTATCAAACATCTGTCTTTGTCCTCCAGGGACTAGCCTCTGAGCATAGGTCGCAGTACGGTTGAGGGTTTAGTGAGCTTAGGAGTACCTCAACACCGAAAGACCTGCCATTTTAACAACAGATAGTAGGAACTCCAAGCCCTAAGCTCTAAACCCCTGAACCCCAAAACCCCTAAACCCTGAACTCCTAAACCCTAAACCCCTAAACCTCTCAAACGGTAGACTTTTTCAGGGGTCAGGTAGGGTCTAGGGAGGAGGGCATCGCCCGAGGGCTCTATGATAGGAATCTCTTTGGCTTTGCGGTATACCCCAAGACCTGCCTTCTCAGGGTTCCTTCTTATGACTACTTTATAATCATAAGGCCTGGTAAAGATACCGGACCTTCACCCCCCCGCCCCCCCAAGACCTGCCTTCTTCGGGTTCCTTGTTAGTCCTGAAAGAATGTAGGTTTTCAGTGGCTAAGGTATAGGTTGATTATACTACGGAACCCTAACAGACGGGTATGGCTACTTAGTTAGGCCCCAATGTTGGCTCTGCAAATGCCAGAGACCCACCCCAGGCCATGTGGCTGAAGCTACATCGCGGCCTCAGCGCACACCGAGCGTGCGGCTGTTCGAAAGTAGGCGCACCGTTCACAAACAAAAACACAAACAAACTAAACACATACAACGACAACCTTAAATCTAAACGTCCAAATCTTAAACCTGAAGAAGGTATAAGACCCTGGACCTTCAACCCGAAACAACCAAATCATGCGACTTTCGAACACCCCCGGAAGAGGTCAAGCCAGCCGCTCGAAGCGACCCTGGGCAGCGGCAGGCTAAACTCTCGGCCCTAGACAACCTTTCCTGGGGGGTTTTGGGTTTCGGGCTTATGGGGTGCAGGGGTTTGAGTTTTGCATAGAACTCTGCCAGCAATCTAGAGACATCAGAAATCCGACTGTTGAGGAACCTAAGATGGGATGCTCCAAGACTGATTCTTTCAATGCTCCTTTACGGCTGCAGAGGCTTAGCATTTCGATTCAGAGGGCCTCAGGGGCCACAGGACTTGCTCTCAGGCTCCATGGTATACACATATAGTACATACTTTGGGGTCTCAAAGCTAGAAAAAAACCCTCAACCCGAAACCCTGAAAAGTTCCTATCTTTGACTGCTTGGAGTCGTAGGGCTGCAACAATGCACGGAGGCGCTGCTTCCCTGCTAGCCAAGATTCAGGCTGTCGGGGAAGTCCCATTGGGTTTTGGGCAGAGGATTTCAATGGCCTACACCCTTATCCCCCAACCCTAAGGAGAAACCTTCCTCGCAGGCCCTGAACAATGCGCGGCAAGAAGGACGTCTGGCCTGATTCAAGCAGCAAGGTAACATTCAGAGTTCAGCTACAGACATTGAAGACTGAGACGTCTCGCTAGAGAATCCCGGAAATCCGACCCCAAAAAACTATCACCAGATTATAGGCTTGGTTTAGGGCTTAGGGTTTAGGGTTTTTCGGGGTTTAAGGCCGAACCCGGGATTTGGCTGAAGACTCAAGTTCCCTGTTCGTGCTGAATTATCACAGCAGCCACGGCTTAGTGCCAGATCCCGGAACACCAAAACCACATGTGATGCCAGTATAGTCTACGACACGATATATTCTACTAAATTATCGTGTTAATTATATTGTTGTATTGCACTATCATATATTGTACCATAATAATAGTAAGAGTAAAAATATACTATATTACGTCGTATTCAATCTTGTCTGAGGTCATCGCCTCCAGCACTTCGCGAAGGAGCCTCTCTTGAGGCGTCGCCAGGGAAGTGGGCAGGGTTTAGGATTTAGGGTTTCGGGTTTAGAGTTTAGGGTTGAGAGTTTAGAGTTTAGGGTTAGCTTTGGATTTGGGGGAAAACGTCGTCAAACCGTCAATGCTAAACTCGATCCCTTAAGCCCCAAACTACACCTAAACCCTGCAACGTACACCTTGGCCTATAGAAGCCTTTAAGCACCAAAAAAGTCAGAGCACCAGCCGTGACAAGAAGCATGGAAAGACTCGACGTACGTACCCAAAGAACCCAAGACCCCTTAATTAAGGAATATACCTTAAATCATATAGTTAAGGCCCCTATAGTTTCAGGCATGTACTTTTAGGGGGTATTGGGACTCCTGGGTAGTAGGATAAGATTGCAAGGCTCTGCAAACAAGGTAATTACTTCTGACGATTTGTATCAAACCTCCCGGTTGGCGAAACTGAAACCGCAGCAAAAGATCAACTTTCGACTGCATCGGCCAATCACCGGAACCTCATGCTATCGAGTAAAGGACGAAGAAGGCACGTCGCATAAGTCCAGGCGTTGGAATGTCTTCCCAAGCATGGCAGAACTGACTGACTCCATTGCCACGGATTGTGAGATAAACGTCTGATGACAAGTTTCTCTCAAGACTTGAATGTTAAAACCTACACGATCAACCTGAAGAACTCGTGAACAACAAAACTGAGGGCCTTTCCACCCCCGAAAAGCAGTGGTCCATGATAACCCTAAACCCTAAACCCCTGTAGTACCTTGCAGCGAGCCTTCCCCCAAGACTCCAAAAAAAACTCACAGCTAGAACTATTTTACAGACGCTGGATCCCAGAGTAGGTGCTATTTGCAAAGGTAGAGTCTTAGGGCTGTAGTACTCTAAATTATCATTTAAAAAATTTAGCGTTCAGGAGGTTTAGGAGTTTAGGGGTTAGGGTTCAGAGCTTCGGGTCTATCGGGGTTTTGGGTTGAGGGCCTAAAAAAGTGGACCCTAAAACCCTAAACGGTTCTCCTTGCCGCCACGGAGCTTCCTCCGCTCGTGAGGGTCTGCGAAGACTGGGCCTAAGAAAACGTCAAGCTGCGCCAGCGCCTGCGGCTGTCCAGAAAAAGGGGGTTTATTGGCTTGGGGGTGTAGCGGTTTGGGGGTGTGGGGGGTTTGGGTTTAGGGGTTTAGGGGTTTAGGGTTTGGGGGTTTAGGGGTTTTGGGTTTAGGGGCGCAGGGGTTTAGAGGTGTAGGGGTTTAGGGTTTTAGGGTGTTAGGGTGTAGGCATGAGGGGTTTAGGGCTTAATCAGGGCTTTAAAACAACCAAGCTGGTTGTGTTCTTGCTCTACATAGGTCTGTACCGTACTGAGGTTGGGGCTTGGAAGTAAGAGGGTCGTATGTTGTTGCTGTGGAGATATGGCTGAAGAGTGACGACAACACCTTTAGACGTGGTAAGCAAAAGTGGTAAGGGCTTAGACGGATCTGCCTAAACCCACTGATGCAAGCATCATCTGGATTCTGGGTCTTGGGACAAACAGGACAGCTCCGGTTCAGTTCGGGGTTGGTTCAGCCTACTCAACGGTGCTTGCCGGAAGACAAGCTCAGGCTATGAGTTGTGAACCCGAGGCTCAGAAGTACTCTACAAAAACATTGCGAACATGCACACGGAAACGGTGCTTTGGAGTTTGGCACAATGAGGCTGCAAAGCGATAACCCAAAGTCACCGCGTTTAAGACAGTGTAGAGTTTACCAGCTTACCCTGCGGGCCCAAATACCTAAGAATCATACACAGACCGACAAAGTCTACTAACTTTAATACCAACTACGAGACCAAACTACTCTAAACCCAATTGTTGGTTCAACACCATCTTGAAGACCTTAGATCAGGGTCAAACGGGATGGCGTCCACTAGCGGACTCCTGCAAACCTGACGATGGCATACTCGCAAGGTAAAAGCCCCAATCGCTAAATATGGCTTCTGTCAGCCCACAACCTAAGCCCGAGCCCCCTTGACCATAGATCCCCAAACAACACGTGGGTAGTTTTCTGAATTAGGGTTAAGGTGTTGTAAGACTCCAAACAGCCCAAAACAGCAGTATTTACCCTGAGGGTCCATGTGCCCAAATAGTGCATAGTTTGGCCTTAAAGTAGTCCCTATTTGGGTACTTTGGGCCAAAGTATCTATATGTACTATTTGGGCACATAGACCCTTAGGGTTATAGACTTTGGGCACCAATATATCAATATATATATATATATGTGTGTGTGTGTGTGTCGTATACTTGGGAGTCTTCTGGGGGGGCAAAATACCCCTGCACCCCCAATAAGACCACACTCTTGTCAGCCCAACCCCGAAAATCCTGACTTCCGCATGGCTGCATGGTCGGGATCCCTGGCTTTATTGGCTTTTGGGTGCTTATCATGAGAGTTTAGAGGTTAGGGCCGTTTAAGGCTCAGGGTTTAGGGCTTAGGGCTATCATGAGAGTGAACCTTGATAGGAACCCACAAGGGAACCCACTTCAAAGCTCAACCTTACAGTAAACAACCGTAGAACTGTCGCAGAGAGAAGCGCATAACCCAGACCTTCCAATATCCCTCAATTCAGGAATGTACCGTAAATTATAATCGGCTCCTTAATATGATTTACGGTATCTTCCCTCAGATTAAGGGATTTCTTAATATGATTTACGGTATCTTCCCTCAGATTAAGGGATTTTGGATTTTGGAAAGTCTGGGTAAGGTCCCCTCCGTGGGCTGGCCTGCTTCAGGCTCTGATCGACCGGCCCTGAGGGAGACTCCTGAACGGCCAACTCCAAGATCTGTTGCACCTGTTCAAGATTTAGGGTTTTAGGGTTTAGGGTTTAAGGGTTTAGGGTTTGTTGCACCTGTTCAGGGACTTAGCTGTCAGGAGCTACCCGGGTTTGGGATTTTGGCTCGGGTTCTGAGGCTCAGGCAGAAACAAAAAGGGAGCTCTTGGAACACAAAGCCCCAGCCGAATTAGGAGTTTGTGGGGTAGGAGGCTTACAATTCATAGGTGAATGGGGCTTAGGGTTCAAGCCTTCGGGGTGTTTGGCTCAGGGTTCATTTGGCTGAAGTAGGACCAGGAAGCCCCATCATTCTGGCACACTCTGCTTGTACAGGGGATGAGCACCCTGAACCTCAAACGGCGCAGCTTCGAGGAATTTGCAAAGACCTCCTAGCTCCTCGACCCCAGGTATCGCTGGACAACTGGACAGAACACCTGTCAAATAAAGACTTGGACCAGCATTATCAGAAACCTAGCTCAAACAAGTCTCTAGCCCCAGCACACGACACGCCGAAACTCTTCCCTCCAAAAGCAGTACATGTTGGCGCTGGACAATTTTCCCTCACAAGCCAAGTCCCTCCACCAAAAGCAATGAGAACCCTAAACCCTAAACCCTAGCACACAGCAAAAACTATCCGTCTCCCTGCACCTTCGAAGGGTCTGCCATCTGTGCGACCAACTCCTGCTCTTGACGTTGCGGCTCGGGGCAAAGATGAGGCAGCCCGGAGCGAGAGCTTTAAGGTTTCAGGCTAGAGAGTAGGGCTTAGGGTATTCTAACCCAAATCGAGGGGCTAGTGTTTGTGCGTCTGTTCTGTTTGTCTGTATGTATGCGTGTATGTATGCATGCCTGCATGCATGTGCGTATGCATGCGCGTATGTATGTTTGAATGTACATGTTTGTTGAAGCTCTCTTTTCAAGGGCTCTTCCAGGGATTCATTCATCGTAATTAGCTGCAGCGTTCGGGACATTAAAGGACAGATACGCAGTAACATTTCAGACCTCTCTGGGAACCCCCCGAAAGGGTCCATGTGCCCAAGTAGAGTTCCTCTTTCAGGGTTCCTTTAACGGTATCCATAGCCGTTCCGGTAAGCGATCTATAATAAGGGTTCTACAGAGTTTAAGGTATAAGTATAAGGGTCCATGTACCGAACTAGTATCGACTATAGCCCAAAGTACCTATATTATCGAGACTACTTGAAGCCAAATTATAATTGCAATAGACTATTTGAGTAGATGACCCTTCAGGAAAGGGTGCAGTAGGGATCACTAGGGCTACAGCTTATGGTGTCAGCAAGCCTGAAGTGTAAGCCTAAGCCATCTCGGCTGAAACGAGCTGTGGCGATTCCCACGGTGCCTCCACACATCTCTGAAACAGCATCCGCCGAACGCCATACAGGGGCCTGTGGCAACTGGCCGAGGCTTGTCCAGTCTGACTCCTAACCCCAGTTGCTTACTTAAAGGAACAGTACTGACACAGGAGCCAAGAAATCCTGAACCTACAGTGTTACAAGCCCGACACTGACAAGGGACACTAACCTACAGCGCACAGAATGTAGGGGGGGGGGCCGTAATACTTCGTAATACTTAGTAGGGCGAAGCCCTGCAGGACCCGGGCCCGAGAGCTTTGAACGCTTTATTTTTTTTGTTGACGGTTTTGGGGCTGGGAGGATTTCCTTAGATTTCCATGTACCCAAATAGTATATACTTTGGCACGCCCCCCAAGTGTCTATATAGGGACTACTTTAAGGCCAAGGTATATAGTATTTGGGCACATGGACCCTTATGATTTAGGACTGTGTAGGAATAATGGGCTGTTAAGCCCGGCTTCTGCAAGATTTGGGTTTGCTAGAAATACGACAGCGATCCTCGAGTCTATCCTACGATGCCTCGGCTTCCTGACGATAAAGCCGAAAGGCTGACAGCTAAAACGCCTCGACCTCGAAGCCTGAAGCCTGTTAGGGTGTGGGTTTAGGGTTTAGGGTGACCTAACGCATGTCTTGTGAGGTGCCGGTAGGCTTCCTTGTGCCCGGGCTAGGCACACGGTCTCGGGTGTTGGGCGTACGCCCCTGGGTAGTAATGTCGGTGTCTAGCACGTGTCCCCTGACGTCGTTATGCACGCTTCCTCGGCCCCTCATAATATAATGTGTGGGGTGCTGACGGCATAAGCGTGTCGATAATTCAGGGAACCCTTAGAGTCACAACTTTCGGATTGGGACCCCATGAGACAGTTTCGGACAATCTAGCGCCTCAGATTCGGAACCTGGAACCCGATAAGCCTCCCCAGGACTTCGCCGCTGCAGGCAAGTCAGGCTATCCATAGGCTCCTTAGTAGTTCCTTTTTGGGATTACCTTATAGGATTCTAAATATGAACCATAAAAAGGAACTACTTAGGAGCCCATGGGTACTGCCGAATTTCAGAGCCCAACAGGCCCGACGGAGTTGGAAGAGCTTCAGGTAGGGGCCTAGAAATCTCGGGGCACATGCTGAACCCTCGATCTCCAAATAATGCTGTCGGGCTTTGTCATAAAACAAAAAGGTATACCTCTGTGCCTACGAACTGAATCTGAAGGAGGTTTCTACTATATAAGAATCATTCAGGCTTTTATGTTATGCCTGTTGAAGAGTAGTTGTAACTGCATGCGCCCGCCTGTCCCAATCAATCTCGCCCTGCGCCAAATTTCCGTGGAACCAGGTCGGTGGCGGGTACCAGAAGTTAATGCTGACGACCTGAGAGGGCTCTGGCGTATGTAGGTTTATTGTTGAACCCTCTTTTCCATCTGCCAGAGGGTTTAGGGTTGAGTAAGAAGGGTTCCGCGATAAAGGTTTGAGAAGGCTTCATCAGGGTCTTCTCAGGGGATTCGACAAGCCTTGCATGTATCATGTAGTTTAAAGTAATGTTGTCCCCTATATCCGTCAATTCGTGTTCCTTTGTTAGCCCGTTGTTGTACCCAAATTGGCCCTAAACAAAAAATGGGTTTGGCTCAGCTGTGGGCACAGTGCAGCTGCAGCTGCAACAGAAAGAACTAGTGAGTGTTCGAGATTCGATACCCCTAAACCCTAAACCCTAAACCGTGAAACTTTGCTATTTTGAGTCCGCAAACCCCGACACAGACACCACACCGGGGTTGAACTGAATTTACTGCGCAAGCTGGGGCCCACGGTTTCGGGATTTCAGCATCGGCCTCCGATGTATCTCGGGTCTCCGGCCTGATTTCAAACCACATCCCAGGGAACCCTGGACTTAGAACCCTGCACACGACAGCCAGTCGGCATGAAACTTGAGCCAACATTTCATCTCGAAGGGTGATGAAGCTATATTACTATAAGTGTGAAGGTGACTCCTTTGGTCCAGATAGGGTGTAGGGACTGCGCGTCCTTTGGAAGCAAGGGGAGGCCTAGAATATGGACCCCACCCCAAACCTTAACCTCGTACGGCTCCGCACGAAGCCCAGACGCCTCATCTGCCGGCGAAGGCAACATTTCAATATGATGCCACCAGCCCGGGGGAAGATGCCTGGCGAAAAGCAAACACCTAAACCCTAAACCCCTAGTTAAACCCTAAACAAGGTGTATATGCACACTCGAGACCTTCCTGCTGCTTGTCCGAGAGCTGATCTAAAGTGCGGAGTCATAGCACCGCAACAAAGATACATGTTCTTGCACTCTAGCTTTTCCAGGTCTGGAAGTTGGTTTGTGGTCCTGTAAGAGTCACAACTTCAACACCAACTTTGCTATGACTCTTCGAAACGGACCTACAATCCCAAAGGTTCCTAAATACCCAGAATGTAATTAGTAGGGTTTCTTACTCGGAAAATGTTCCAGGTAAGTATCCCCCATAACTGTACCTAGGACCCTTTAGGAATTACATCGAATCAACACGAACTGAACTGGGAATCCGCAACTCGACGCCCAGTCCAGAATCCGGATCAAGGCTAAGGAGGTTGCAAATCCGGGATACGCCCAACATAGTGGGAAACTTGCTGGGGGCTTTTCAGGGTCTCAGGCTTTTGCGGTAAGGAATTCAGGTGAGTATGCACTATGCAGGTTTAAGGCTCTCAGGCTCGGTGATTTTAGGGGCCTTTGGAGTAATTAACTTGGGTGGGTGTAGTCATTTGGGAAGAGAATTGAGACCTTCGGGGTGCGTTGTCAAGGCTTACGGCCTTCAGGGCAGGGATTTTTGTCATTTGAGTGGGTCTGCAATCTGCAATGGCTAAAACGCCGTTGGGGTGGGGTATCTGGGGTGGGTTTGAATTTTTAGCGTCTTGGGGGTAGGGAAGGAATATGGGTGGTGGGAACTTGGGTGGGCTGAGTCAGCCTACGGTGGGTTTAATCAGTCGTTTGGCTTTTCGGGGTTTCATGAGTTCAAGGCCGTTGGGGTAGAGAACTCGGGCGGCCTTCCAGGTTTAGGAGCCTATCTTCGATCCTCCTGAGGAAGCTTCTGAAATGAGAGAATATCGACAAGCTCAAACAAAGCATGAAATGCGCACCCAAAACCTCTGAAATCGATCTTCACAGTCTGCGTGATAGCCTAACACGCTTGACATGCATGACCAACATTATAGCCTTTCAGTTTTCCGTTCTTCGCTTGACCAGCGCTTGTGACCTCGAAGTCACTGGCTATACAACGCGGTACCCGCGCCTGGTCCAGCAGCTGGGAAAGCAGCCGGGCAGCGACCCGCAATGGCCGCAGCCTTCCGGATACCTCCTCAAGCGCTGCTTGCGGGTGATCGGCATGAGCTTCTGCAGCTGCTTTTTTGTGAGCTTCGTGGGTGGACGGCCCGGACGGCCCATACGCTTGCCTGTTCTCTTTGCAAGCTTCCCGGCAGCTGCGGTGCCTTTCGCACGCCCTGATTTCTTCCCTTTCGTTGAGACACCCTCTGCCTTCTTCTGCGCCTTACGCACGGGCATCATGTCGAAGCTCTCGGCCAAGTTCTTCTGGTATTGTCTCACCTCCAAGGTGCTAGAGACTGGAAATGCAATGGGACTTCAAGGATCACTGTCTCTGCACATGTCAAAACATGCACCTCCAAGAGCTTAAGGTTAGGTATGCCCTGGCAGCGACACTAGAGTTACTAGAGTAGCCTCTACATGCAAGCTCCGGTGGATCGCGCCGCCTTGCGTTTATCCTCGCCCAGGAGCACAAGCACCGGGAGCAGGAATCGTCGCCAACCACCTGAGTCCGATATCCGGGAAACATTCTGACCCCACAACTCTGTCATATAGATCTCTGGGCCTGAATATGTTTCTGAGCGAGTTCGCCGATTAGCCCCAGCTACAAACTTGCACGGAAGCCCAACAGGAAAGTTTGAGCCCAACATCCTCGGCGCCTGGAGACTGTGGTTCGAAGTGCTTGTGGGCCTCCTCCAAAAGAACTTTGAGCTGCACTGCGACGTCTTTGGGAAGATCTTTTGCCTCGGCAAGACACGGTTCGTATTATGACTGGGAGCTGCATGGGCTTTGGCTGAATGGGCGTTCGCATGTAGTGCAAATGTCACATGAGTGCCGGCCCGTGCTCTTGCTGTGTGCAGTTTGGGACTTCACGTGGTGGAAGGGTCCGTTCGCGCAGGCCAGCTATGTCTGCTGGTTTCAGTTTCAGCTATCCGCGCTGCCTTTCGCTTCAGGATGCTGAACTTCTTGTTGAACAGCTCAGCACCGCCGACATTGCTGGAGTCGACATTGAACCTTTGTCTTTACTGGGGGGAGTGGGGTTTGTTGAAATGAACCTGGGTGGACTAAACCTGCAAATGCGAATCCTCCAAGCAGCCCAGTATAGCTACATAAGCGACCTACAATGAATGACATATTTCAGCACTGCGGTTGTTTCGTCGGACTTGGGCATTCCAGGATTTCTGGCGCTGGACACGAATTACTCACAGCACCTCAGTCCAATCTAACATACCACAAGTCCATGAAATTCTGCAATGAATGCTGGGATCGTTGATCATGGCGCCCGAACAAGCAGACGACTTCAGTCCACACTGACGCAGTAGTCACCCCCGAAACTGTACTGACAAGGATCAGCGCAACTGTTTGCGAGAGGACAACACAACGACAGACGTACACGATGGGGTTAAACATGCAGGATAACAGGCAATCATATTGCCTTGTACAGTTCTGAAGACCCCTGTGGTGATATTCACAAGAAAAGCCATTGCAATAACAGAACCACGAAGATGAAAGCCCGAAACATTCCCAACTCTTTCATGTAGCGAAACCGAACTCCCACAACGAATCCCAATGAGTTGATCCGAATCAATCTCGCAGAGAAGCAAGTCCCAAGCTGTCTCAAGCGATTCAGCGACATGCTTGGCCACGTTGTCGGTCGATTGCTGAGCCATTTGCCTTATGTTTCGAAAGACTCCACAGGAAAGGGCGATAACCTGAAAATTTAACATTAATCTGCGACTAAGTTGCAGGGTGTTGATTTGTTTGAGCAACGGGTTGCTCCATAGAAAGGAAAACCCAGCCTTGCCCAAGGCCATGCGGACAGACGGGGAGGCCAGCTCGTATTTGCTGCACGTGAAGTAAACCAAGGTGCATCGGTCACCTGTCATTGGATGTTACAGGCTTTGTGCGAGAGAAACGGCTAAGCCAGGACGAATGTGGCACTTTAGCGTCGCGTAAGTTTCGTATTCTTCCAATGTGTCATCAACATGCGCAGATTTCAAAGTGTAAACTATAGTGTATAGACTGGCTTGCAATAGCGGCATGGAACAGAGAATAAGGAGGGTGGGTGGGTGGGTGGTTGGGTGAGGGGTGGGGTGGGGCACATGCATGCATGCATGCTGCTGGTGTCTGTCCAGCCTTTTTTCATTTTTTTTCCTGTTCGGCTTTCGGAGTCACAATCTTGCTTTTCGGCTGGTCTTCCTTTCGGACCCGAGGCTTCGTTTTTCGGTTTTGAAAAGCTATTTCGGATTTTGGCGGCTTCTCGGACATCGGGGATTCGAAGAGGGGAAGGCGCTAACAATGTCTCGTTTGCTGTGCCTCCTTGACAGACTTGCATGATCATGTTCCGTTGGGTTTAAGCTCTAATGGACGTCTGATACATTCACTTGCATGTTCAAACATGTTCCAATGCGCTTCGTGTTTTTGGGCATGGGCTTCCGGCTATTCCATGCTATCTCCCAAGTTGGGGGCCTCTTTGCACAATACTAGTACTTCTGAGTTCTTCGTTTATTTTGTTGTCTTTAATGTTTCTGGGTATTTGGTGTTGGCTTCATAAATTATTGTCTGCCAAGCGACGATCCTGCACATTGTGTGGTTGTAGTACTTCGAACTTGCTTGAAGCATAAGTACTTTGGACTCTTTTGGACCTTTGGACTGTATGAATTACTCCTCTGTCAGCTACACCGCCCTGTGGAGGAGTGAAAAACATCTGACGATTATGATCATACTTCTCACTTGCTAGCATATGTCGAACCAAGTTGTGGCATCAACTCGTTTTTGTACTGAACGCCTGGCTCTGCATGTGCTCAAGCCCACTGTAATGTCCTTTCCAAGTGACCATCATGCTCTCCCTGATAGCGAGTCCCCAGAGCAAAAATGTGGTGACACCACAGTTTCACGCAAACGCTCATGTGCAAGCGGCCCGGAGTCGTTCAAGAACATGTTGCCTTGCCTGTTTGTTTGTGACTTTGTTTCTGTGCTTGATCGCTTTTAGGTGTTTGTTTGTTTGTTTGTTTGCTTGTTTGTTTGTTTGCTTGCATGCTTGAGTGCCTACTTGTTATTTTATTTTGCTTTGATTGGTCGTTTGTTGTTCTTTGTCTTTGCATCTGCACCCTTGCGCAGCTATTCAGTCCCAGTAAGGATTCGTACGTTCAGCACATTGCTCCACATATCCCAGATGCCAACCACGTATGCGCGGTCATGTGTCTATATTATATGTGCATGTGTATCCACACGAGTGCTGTTGCGCATGTCGACTGGATAGCAAAGCTGAACCTGTAGATATCTGGTCAGTTTATTCATACCGTGAAGCTCTTCATATGTAGTTTACAAGAACATTCATGTTTTCGATGCGATACTTGTTCGCGTTGACTGACGTGCTTGATCATGTATCTCACTCTCGGCGGTTTTCCACCTGTTTGCCCGCTTCCCGAAGCCTTCGTACATGCGCGATGATTCGTCTCTGTGTTTCTCTGTGTCTGCGTCTTGCTGTTGCACCCCTGTGCACTAAACCACAGACACACACACGCACACACGCACACACGCACACACGCACACACGCACACACGCACACACGCACACACACACACACACTCACACACACACACACGCACTCGCATGCACGCGCACACACACACACACACATACACACACACACACAGACAGACAGACACACACACACACACGCACACGCACACACACGCAGAAAGATACGCATATCTATGTACATGTACGTACACACTGCGACACCGCGTGCACACAAGCGCACCAAGGCAACCACTGAAAGTAACATCCAAAGCACACAGCGGCCAATGGAAGCACTGCAAATAACGATCCTCCGACGGGTTA